TGAGTGTGCAAAGAAAAAAAATGAAGAGTCTGGGGAGTGTCATCAATATTCCACTACATTTATACCCACTGTTGGTCATCACTCATAAGAAATTCACCTCTGCTTGTTCAAACCTCTGCCAAACAAGTCAGATAGATTCTGCTTACTATCATAACTGCATCAGAGAAAAAAATCCCAAAAAACAACAACAACAACAAAAAAACCAACCAACCAAACAAACAAACAAACAAAAAAAAAACCCACAAAAAACCCCAAAAACCAAAAAGCAAAAAAAAAAACAACAACAAAAAAACCAACCAACCAAACAAACAAACAAAAAAACCACAAAAAACCCCAAAAAACAAAAAGCAAAAAAAACCCCAACAACTTTGTTCCTGAAACAGAAATGCAACTGCCTAATGGTTGAGCCCCAGCACTCCAGCAGGCCAGCCATGATGTAAGGAGCCAGGAGACACACAGTGATGTATCAGAGAGGCAACTTATTAACTCTGTAGCCTTTGTCAAGAGGCAGGAGATAACATAGATCTGTATAAATCCAAAACCAAGAAAATTAAACTCTTAGGTATTAAACAAAAGTATTGGTTAAGCCCTGAGGGATAATCAACATAAGATTTTTGTTAATTCTCTATGACGTTAAAACATCTTTAAAAATCTCTCTGTGATTCTATCTATTAATCTACATATCTATATTATTATTCCAGAATACAGCAATGATGAAAACATGTTCTTTTATTCACACTAAGCAACCTGAAATTTACTTAGTAATTTGAAGGTCTATTTCATTATTTTTTTAATTGTTGGCAGATGATTCATTGAGATGAGAAATCACACTTCATTGTGCAAAAATAAACTTTCTCAGAAATACTGCCAAAGCTGCGGTATAAATGTTTTTGAAAGATTAAGTACGTTATAGAGATTAGTGTCATTTTGAAATAGAAAAAAAAATGGGGGAGAAGGTACAGATTATTCTAATGTAGACGTGCAAAACAATAATCTTCAAGCCATTTTACTCCTGTAATTGTTTAAAGACCATAAAAATAAGATTGGTACCTTCACAAAGGTCAAAATGTTGCACTTTAATCCTTATACCACTTAAAATCAGCATTTTGTTTTCTTCTGTCAGCCTGGATCTGAGTTCCAGGGAGCTACAAACTGGATAACTATGTAGACAGGGTCACAGATTACATAATTTTTCATCAGGAAATATTCAACTTTAGCCTTCTGCTCAGATATTCTGTAAGTACATAAAACATACAGGATTTGTCTTCAGAATGTGACAGAGCACCATGTCCTCTAAGACCAAGGGAAGTTAAAACTTCATCTGAGGGCAGACCTATCAGTCTGTATAATCCTACAATTGAAACACTATTAAGCCTTTTTATCTTTTTATCTTTTAAAACCCAAAATGCAGGAAAGGAAGAAAATAAGAAAAATTACACTATGAAGGAGAAACAAACTGCCACAGAACAATGTTTTAGAAAGCTAGAGAGCTAAGATATAAGTGACCTGCAAAGATATAATAAGGTAAAAATTTTAAACACTTTAGCCATCTTTCACATTTATTCCTGATAAAAGAATGTGATACAGTATTACCTCAAACCTGTTCATGCTCCTTTCCCCAGTAAGAATACAAATTACTAAGCCAATATGTAGAAAACTCTTGAGAGTCTAAAAAACAGAGTTTTGCAGAAGAAATTCCCAAGAGTTCTTTCCTGTTGCAGTGTAACCAAAGAAATTCAGGTTGGTTAGGCAGAGTGAAGGAAGGTCCACATGGTGCAAACCGCTTTTCACCAGAAGACATGGCTGTGTGTGTGGCTTCATGTGGAAATGTTTGGGCTGATGTGAGAGCCAGAATTCAGATTGCAATATTTTCAGCTGAAAGCAGAACAGATCAGTCTGGGCAGAAGAGGATTTGAATGCAGCTTCCCTGTTTCTGCTGCAGCATGACTTTGGGCAGAGCCTGTATCAACATCCCCTCCCAGCACCAGCCACACTTTTAGGGACTCTCCCAGTTAAGCCCAGAAATCATGAGGGAAAAGGAGCTGCAATTGCTCTCTAAAAATATACTATACTCTGAAGAGCAAAGACATGGAGAAGGAGCCTTACTGTTTAAGGTCAGCAGTGGCACAAAAAAAAAAAAAAAAAAGAGAGAAAAAGAGAATAAACTATATGAAAATAAATTTAGGATAGAAATTCAGTTTCTAAAAGCATAAAAAGTGAGGCTATGCCCCACCTTCAAGAGGTGCAGTGAGAGTTTACCCAGGTAAATGTAAACCAGAGTTTTTTGAATCTGAACAAAGTACGAAGATCAGCCTACTATCACAGCAAACAGACTTCATGACCACAGGCCACTCTAGTTCTAGCTCCCATATTGAAAAACATAAGAAGATAGTCTTTTACCAGTTCAGGCCACTACAGAAGCTAAAACCACATATTCATGAGTCAGCACACTGGATGCTACACAGTTTCTCATTTCTGTTCACCTATTCTTCTTCATTTGCAAGTAAATACTGATGATAATAATAGTTATGGAAGAAGAAAGAAAAACTGATTTCCAAAGAGTTCAGTTTACAACCCTTTATAAAGGTATCTTAAATCCCTGTACTGTTCTGAATACCAAAACAGATGTAAAGAAAAATAGAAGATGTCATTTCAGTCTAGACACCCATTACTTTCAGAAGCTAGGACAGTATGACTACATCCCATACTATATAAGGAATATAATGATATCATCACTTGCAGATACAAGCCTGCAATTTGTAGGCAAAATTTTTATTCATCTCAAAAGCACAAAAGGACAATTGTCTTTGACACTAACTATGGCTTTCTAAAACATTAGTCACAGCATAACTATAGAAGCACCAAGCCGAAACCAATTCCATCAACCCAGATCCTGCTCTGCCCACATACTGCACAGAGGTAGAAGGATTCTCTTTCAAAACTTGCTCCTTTATTCCTATTTTAGGTCCCAAGGCTGTTTGATATATATGAACTCCTACAACCTCAGAATGCTGCAAATGAAATGTATGTATGTTAATTACCATACTACTCAGACAACAGGTGCTTTGTGGATGAAAAATGGTGCTAAACAGAAAGTTTTAAGAATGCACTTTCTCAGACTTCAAGATAAGACTAGGTGAGCAGGATTAGCTCTTCACTCAGCAACTATCTGTACAAAATTACTCACACAACACACCTGCAGTATTAAAAGAAAGGACAAAAGGATCATTCTGGAAACTGTTAGCCTAGTTACTTTATTTCAGTGCTTTAGCAGTATCAAAATATTTTGCTTACTGGGAGTTGCACCTAATATAAAGAAAGCACTTCATTTAAATAAAAGGAGGGATGGAAATAAATAGAGAGGTGGAGAATAAAGTTTCAATCTCTCATTTCTTAATGGCTTGCTTTTAAATTAAATAATGAAAAAATAAGCAGGCTGAGTCTTCTTAAAATGTGGTGTAATGACCCAACAGATCATAACTATTTTAGAAAAGTCATCATAATCTATCATGGAAATATCTCAGCTGGTTTTTAGACACATGAATTATTGACCCTGTTATGCTGCCAAAAGTATTTTAACATGTCAGAGCAGAATTCATGCATAAATATGTGCAAAATATTTTTATTACAGTAAAACTGGAAAAAGCCAGTGTAAACACATAATAGTTATGTTTCTACAAAGATAAATGAATTTATTTATTTTTCAATGTGACTAATTGCATGATGTATACACTTACACTTTCTACTTTAAAGGAAGCTGTTACATTGCAAGAATATAAACATAAGCATCAGAAGCCTCAAATTTCCAAACACATTTGTAATTCTCTGAATTATATTTGCTTACATGACAGTGACAAAAGAAATATATCCCCTGTAACTTACTTTAGGTTCCACATCTGAATACATGGCATATCTTTATAGTCAGTTTTAGATCCTTAAATGTTCTTTATATAAAATACAGTTAGCAATCCCATCACAATAAAGTAAACAACAGAGAATATCACAGAACATTCAGCTCTTGAACTTCAGCATATTTCACCATATATCTCTCTGGAGGGAAAAATAAATAAAATAAATAAACAAACCCCAAACAAACCTACCCTGTCATCTGGAAAAATCTTTCCAAATTGTGTTTTACAGAACCAATATCCTGTCTGCACATCAGGGGCAGCCTCTGTTAAGCATTTAAGTGCTCTCAGTGAAAAGTAACAGTTTCTCCTCCAATCCTGAACTCTCAGTAACCATCACGGAAAGTAACAGTTTCCCACTCCTTGTCAGCCAGTGGGACTATTTAATCATCAAACAGAAACGAACAACCTTCAAGCAAATATCAGCTTCTGATTAATCTCCATCCCAATGAATTAGACTCATAAGAGGCAACCTGCTGCCTTGTTTACGCCTTTTTAATATGAAGAGCAGAAGTTGGATATAAGGGTTTTCTGCCCTTAGGGCTACAAAATATGCCTCATGTGGCAGTGAGCCAGCTCTCTGAGGGAGCTTTGCTGCTCCACAGCTATTTTCTAATGGATAAATTTAAGCAGACACACACAAAAACACACGAGTCACCACAATACATGGCCGGAGCTATTGTTTTTGTCTAAAGTCCTGAGAGCATCTGTATTCGTACCAAGGATCTCAAGGTTCCATCCAGTTTTGGTTTGGGCTTTACTTTTGGCTGTTTTGTTTATTTGGGATTCTTTTTTTAAATGCAACGAGGAGAGGAGGGGTGTCTGGATTATTATTTTTTTTTTCCCCAGATGACTTTCCCTCTATACAGCACAGCACATAAAACACCTCTCTTCAGGTTTAACTGATCTAGGCTCAATTAGTGCAATATTTTGCACACATCCAAGCAATCACAAGGCAGAGATATTTAGTGCAGTCCTCATGTGTATTGCACAGACACGTTTAGAAAGGAGTGGAAGGAGATTTCTTTAAAAAAAAAAAATCTCACAATGTAATTTACACAGTGTGGAAACGCCTACAAGGAGATGAAGTACCTGCACTGGGGAGATGTTCAGTTGTTCACTTCATCTTCCGTTGACAAGGAAACCAAACCGCACTTCATTCTCCAGGAAAACCTTCCACTGCCATCATTTGAAAATGTATTTATTTGTATATATGTATATATCTATAATCATCATCATCATGATAACAATAACCATCATAAAACACTGCTGGCAAAAGAATAAAAAGTGAAGGTGCAAAATGTGCAAAAGTAAGGATCATCTCTTTGGCTTTCTGTTTTGCTTTGTTATCTTTAGGAAGGAAAAAAAAAGTATTTAAAAATGATGACTGCAACATGCTGCAAGAAAAGTTTCAGATTATAAACAGGCATCAAAAACTGAAGAAGAGGAAAACCAAAAAACCCTGCTGGTTGCACTGTTAAAAAAAAAAAAAAAAAAAAAAGAAACAGTAACAAAAATAATAAAATTAACATCTTGCTCTGTGGCTTCCACCAGTATTGCAAGATTACAAACTCTGTGTAAACACTGCTGTAAAATGCATTTGCAATTCCCATCTCTTTAAGGAAAAAGAAAAAAAAAAAAAAGCCCTTAAAAAAACACCCAAAAATAAAAATAAAACAACACCAGAAAAAAATCCTCTGCAAAAAGAGTTAGAAACATGCCTTTTTTCTTATCTTTAAAAAATAAGCATCATATTTCACATCGCTTTTCCGTGCCACAACAAAACCAGTTGCATATATAGATATATAGCTACTAAATGTATATCAGTTGTTGCTGGACTGGCAAGTCTGTGTTATTAATATTATCATTTTTCATTCCCAGTGACTCCCGGCCCCAGCAGCACCTTTTGCTCACAGTTTAGTAACCATCGCATGCTAGGAAAAAAAAAACTTGTCATCAGCAAAAGATCAAATCCATTTAAACAATAATCAAAGAGGAAGAAAAAAAAAAAAAGAAAAAAAAAAAAGAAAACAAAAAAAAAAACAGGACAAAAAAGGAGGACAAGAATGTCAGCAGAAAGGTACTCACCGAGCGGGAGTAAAAGGGAGGAATAAAAATGAGAGTTACTATAAAATACAGTATGGCGGTGGAAGAAGGAATGAGGCGCTTTTTTTTTCTCTCCTCTCTAGTCTCTGCCTCCGGCAACCGCCACGTGATCCGGAGCCGGGCGGACTCGCAGCCGGGAGGGCGCAGCGGCGGCGCCGGGCGCGGACCCAGCCCGAGCCGAGCCCAGCCCGCTCCGCTCCGCTCCGCGCCCGCCGCAGCCGCCCGGCTTCGCCGCCGCCCAGCGCTCCGCGCCGCCGCTGCCCTCGGCAGGTGCCGCTGCCCCCGCGCTCAGACACGCTCTGCTCTGCTCCGCTCCGTTCTCTCACTCTCTGCCGCCGAGCGCGGGCACGCAGCCGGCCGTGCGGGCGGGGTGCGGAGGCGGGCGCGTCCTGCGCGGCAGCGCAACTTGCTCGCCGGCGCAGCGCGAACTTATCGCCTGACACCGCCCGCCTGTTGCCCTCCGGCCGCGGCGCCCCGGCCCCGCCGCTGCAGCGCCGCTCGCCCCGGGAGTGGGGCCGGCGGCGGGCGGAGCGGAGAGCCGGGGTTTGCCCTGGTGAGGGGTGAGGTGCCCCCGGCGGCGGCCCCGGTGCAGCACCGGGCTCCGAGGCGTGTGCGCCCGGGTTATCCCTCCCGCTGATCCGGCGGGGGATGGGGGACTGCTCGCGGGGGTACCGCGTGTGCGCGCACGGCAGGGGTAGCCCGCCGCCCGGCTCGCCGTCTGCACGGGATGCCAGCCCTGATTCCTCCGTGTGTGCGGGGGTGCCCCTCCCGCAGCTTCGGCTCAGCGTGGGTGCGCGTAGTACCCCGGCAGGCAGACAAGGCAGGCAGGGGCATCCCCTGCTGTAGCGCCAGCTCCAGGGCACCGCTGCTGCCGGTGCAACGTGGGCGGCGGGGGGGTTCCCCTGTGCCACTCCTGCTCCGGTGTGTGCGCAGCTCGGGGTGCTTCCGTGCCGAGCGCCGAGGTTGCAGTCACTTTGCGCCCAGTCATGTCTGAGCAGCGCTGCTCCGGCTTCCTCCGGAGAGCGGTTCCCATGTGCAGCGGGGGAGAGGACAGGTACCACGGGTCCCATCCCTTACTGCTTCTGTTTCCGGGCCTCTCCCCAGCTGCACGGCTTCTCCCTCCTCCCGTCCTTCCAGCGGCAGGGCTGATGCTTCCCATGACAAAGTTACTGGCCGAGGTGGGAATCGAGTGTTTTCGGAGGGGGCCATTCACCGCTGGGTCCGCTCCCGGGAGCAGCCCGCAGGTGCAGGTAGCGTGGCGCAGGGCAGTGGGCTCCGGCCGGGCTGACCCCGGCTGGGCAGCCTCCCTCGGCACCGCAGCTGCCCGCAGTGGTGGAAGGGTTTAGGGTCGAGCCCCTCCGGACTCAGGTGCGGCCCTGAAGCAGCTCCGTGGCTGGCCGGATAGCAGCTCTGTGTCTCCCTTTTCCTTTAACGTACAAAAAATACACTGGAGGAGACTGTGTGCTACTGTTGCTGAGAGTTCCCTCAAGACGCTTGCTTTTCCCTTTTTAGCTCTCCTCGCATGTCTCCTTATTAACAAACGCAGCAGTCGCAGGGAGCGGCGGCTGGGGCTGAGAGCAGCTTTGCTCCAGCTGAAGCAAAACCTGCTCAGCACTGCCAGGCCACAACCTGCCGCCTCGGCTGTGTCCTCACTTCACTGGCCCCAAAATGTTCTCGGCTAACAATCACACACAAACTAACTTATTTACTGCTTCAGCAGTAGAAGAAAGAGCCACAAAAGATAAATTAAGAGAGGAATAGAAGCACACATCTGTGAACCAGGCACAGTGATGGAGCAGTCCAGCCAGTATTTTCCAATACCCAATACTGCCCTGCCGTACTGCCTCCTCCCCCCTTCTTCTTCACGCACTTTTTTTTTTTTTTAAGACCCCGTCTCTTTTCATCCAGGTCAGGAGGCAGGAGATACTGTCAGGTTATTACTCTACAAAAATTACTCTGACCAGTCAGAGGATGCCCTGCTATATAAAAGACTGGTGAGGGCACCAGCCTTCCTTCTTCGCATCCTCACACAAAGATTTTCCCCTTGCCCTGACCGTTTCTTTCTTTCCTTTTCTGTATATCTTCCTCAGTGTTTCCAGAAAATTAAAAGAAGTGCTCCCTTTCTTCTTTGCTCTCAACTTCTTTTATGAAATACAAAAAGAACACTGTCCAAAGTTTAAAAATATATATAACCAGCTATGGTTGCTTGCTTGCTTTATGTTTTGGCACTAGGCTTGTTTTGGCATTTCATAATTTTCTTCCCCTGCTATGTTTGGCTCCCAGGAGCAGAGCTATACATCTGAGAAGGTTTAAAACAAACAAAAAAGCAAAATAAAGGAAGTCTTTAAAGATTAAAAAAAACCAAAAAAACCCAAGAAATTGGAGCTTTTAGTATGAAAACTAACCAACTTAACTGTACGAAGTTGCATGTACACGTGGCAATAAACTCAATCATATTGTCATGATAGTATCACAAACTGTCATGTCTTGAGGTTTCAGGTGTGGGAGGTGTATTTCCTTGGATGGTGCACTTCAATTTTGCCTAGCTCTAGGTACTGCATGTATAAATACATTTTAATGACTAAGGCTTTTTTTAACGATATTTAACTTAAAAACATATTTGCAAAATCAAGGCGTGAATAACAATCCTATTTTGTTGTTGCTTTTCAGTTTCCATTACTGTTTATGTACTTTTGAGCACATATGCCTTCCTGAAATAACAACAACAAAAGTTAAAGGATAGTGTTTTAATGATCCAGTGTTGTACAATAGATCTGACTTGTAAGTTATTTGTTGACACATATAGAGGATCAGAACATGTACATTTTGGACAATGTATTTTATGTATTATTTGTTCAGTAGATTCCAAGAACTAGGAATAAGGTAAACTTGCAAATATGTGTGTTCTTCCTCTCAGTGTGAATGTATTGACTGGTTATTCTGTAAGTGAATTAAAAAGTCATTATGATACACTTGGCAAATGTAAATATTCAAAGGTTCAGGGCAGCTTCCAGACCAGGTCTAGAACAGTGCTGAGGGGATCAGAAAATGTAAATAAATTACTTCCTCCTATAGCTAGCAGTAAAAATTGTGAAAATTAACTAGTTCATAAGAACTTAACCTTACTTTTACCTATGGAATCATCAAAGTATGCTTCTGTCACTTTTCCACTTACAATCCATTAAGATGAAGTAAGCACTAGAGGGTAAGAGGTGCAAGAGGTTTGGCAGGGGTGCATGTTTGGAATAGGAATCAAGCAAGAAAGGGCTTGGAATAATGCTGTTGTCACAGAATCCCACAAAGTATTTATTCATTGGTGTCTAGTTTCTACTTTCTGGCCACTCCTGCTGGAAGTTTCCTTCAAGAGCAGTTGAACACTTGATGCTAGACTGAAATGAGGGAAAGTTCATCACATTGCTTGGTTATGAACAGTGCTCAACAAGTAAAAGAATGCAGTTCAAAAAGAAGGAAAAATAGGAAAATTTTGAGATCAATCCAATGCATGCAAATAAGGTGTCTTCTGGCATTTTTTACACCTTTTCTTCTGCATAACAGCAACTGAGTTCCATTGCAACATGATTAAGAGTTATCCTCAAAAGTAGCAAAGAATTCTGGGCAGAAAGTGAATGAACCAGCACTTCTACACTTCTGCTTAGCTACCAGCATAGAGTTGCTTCCTAAGGTTCCCAAAATATTGTACTACACAGCCAGTGCTCTGTGACTTACACTGGGCTTGCTAGCCTTTAGTTACGCCATGCCATCCCAATATTTCATATCCCTTTCCTGTACCTTTGCAGTACCACTCCTCCCTCCCTTCCACCTCCCCCCAAAAAAGCAGAAATAAATATATTCTGAGATTACCTAATTGCCTATAATCTCTTTTTCTTGACTGCATTAAACTTCTGTGCCCTTAGCATAGTGCTGCTGCTGTATATACACATTGCTTAGACAATTTTCTTCCTTTTCTACTGGAGCTGGTATTGGAGAAACACACAGTTGTTTTTTGGAGTTTTTTGTTTATACCACTTTCAGTGCACTTACACTTTCCTAAAATAAAGAAGCTTCTCTTTGCAGGTAGTAAGCAAATAGTTGGAGTCCAGCACTAAGGTACTGGCTTTGCAAAGATCCATCACTATGACTCAGCAGCCTGAGAGCCAGAGCTCAAGTTGCAAACAGGTGCAAACAGCTATTAGTATCTCCTATTGCACTGGCAGAAGTCAGCTAAAACAATACCAGATGCAAAAATAGCAACAGTAATAATAAAATAATGATAAAATAATTAGTGGTCCTTTTTTGAAGATACAGCTGCCTGAGCTTGATTTAAAGGCTAATTTGTATGTAATCCCTTTGAGACCATTCAGTATAATTATAGGTTTATAAGGTTGTGGTGGGTGTTTTTGTTTGTTTGTTTGTTTGTACATGTTGTTTATGCCTACCATGAAAGCAGTAAAGGGAAAATTAGTTGACCGGTAATAACTGTTAAATGAAAGAATTACTTGAAGTGAGCCAACTATTACCTTTTTAAACGATTAAAGGAAGAAAGCTGCATTTCTCAAACACTAGAGACTTAACTATCATCATTGAAATCCATTTATGTGTTGGCTTTATTTTGATTAAATTGCTATACCTTAGACAATATCAAGTTGAATTACTTCACATTTTTAAAGTACACTTCAGTTCATGTGATAAATGTGTTATTTTAGAAAGAACTTTCGTTCATCTGTTTATCGCTGCATGCTATCATTTTTCTTGCTTTTTTTTCTACAGATGTATTGTTAATTTTAAGAAAAATCTGTACTTGTTCTCCTTCTACCTCTCTTAGTTCTTTTAAGACACTATTTATCTATACAGTGAAGATAACTCAATTCTTCTTTTACCACCTTTTCATCTGAAATTTCCAAGTGTCTGAGCAGAATGAGGGTTAAAAAGTTCAGTAATAAATGACAGAAGGAATAATAGCAAGGCAGCCCTGTTTAAAGGAGAGCAGATACAGTACCTGAATGATACACCCACTATGTAGAGAAATGGAATGAAAAATAGGGAAGACTTTCAAGGAGCCCTTTTTACCTGCTTTTGTCAGATGAGAGAGCTTT